GCTTAGAAATATTTCCCTTATGTAGGTACCTACTCCTGAAACTCTCACTTGCCCGATTTTTATATTTTAAGATAAGAACAAAAATTTACAAAAACTATTAAATTGAAAATCGTACGGGCAGTAATAAAACAAATATAAATATTTTCTCTATATTCGTAGTACAATATTAGTATAAAAGCATAGACATACTAAAAATGTTGTTTTCAATCCGAAAATTGCACAACATTTACTGCGAGTAAATTGAATATCAGATTAAAAGAGGTACATTTGTGCTATGCCAATCACCGCCATTTTTCTCAATCTTGCGGTGCGCAATGAAACTTCTATATATGTACATATATATTAATAATATGTAAAACCAAAGAATTTGGTTTTAGGTCGTCTGAACGCGGGCGGAGTCGCGGGCAATGCTAATATAAACATAATATTTGTATTATGCCAGTACACTTGTTTTGTATTTGAATAATTTACAAACGAGCGGAACATCGTTTCTTGCCCTAGGCGCCACTTCAGATTGCTACGTCTCCAACTACTTACTTATGTTCTTGGCTTTCAGGCAGTATTGATACAATATTATTAGATGACGGATCCCAACGCCATTATAGATTAAAACTCCGGCATAGAAAATATTGTGTTTTGGCCGGTGATTGAGTACTACTATACTTAATAGAATTTTATTTCAAAACACCTTATTTCGTTATTAATCATTCAGTATTCTATTTCATAACATAAAGTCATTCCCGCGGGATATGTATGTTTTTGAAACGTCGGTATTTAATATAAATATATCCATCCATATAATGCGATAACACTGACATTACGATTAAAATTTAATTTAGGCTTTGGAAGCAGTTAATTTAATAAATAACAAGTAATTTAATCGAAGTACTAAACTAATCTTTATTAATAAATTAAATTGCGTGTAATATGTTATTTTTCCGTATTGCAACGGTCCCACGGGATTGTTTTCGATTAATTGTTATCTCACTAAATGAAACAATTTTAAGTAAACGAGACCAAAATTACCATTATAGAATTTAGAAACTTTTTGAACTGAAACTTAGAATCGTTGTGATTTGAAACTCCATGAAGCGAAAATGCGTCACGATAAAGAGACAAACACATAAATATATAAGACTGCCCACGACTTCGTCCGCGTGGAAAAGTTACTTTGCTCGCAGAGCTACCGGGCGGCCGGTATCAAATGATGTCAAGGGCAATTTTGTTCAAAATTAAATTCTTGTGATGAATAACGTATTTATTTGAATAAAGATTAATATCACGCTTATAAAAACACCTTAGGAAATAATGCATTATTTTAGAAGAGCAAATTTGATTACCATAAAACAAAAAACAAACTCTTCAGCTTTATAATATTCAGGTTCCGTAAGTGAACGCACGACAAGTTTTTTGTCCGATCGCTGTAACTTGAAAAATTGTTTTACTCAACAATGAGCTTCTTGCCTTTACTTGTTGAATAGGTACATAAATAAAGGCATTCGGATTGTAGCTTGTTGTCTCGTTATGAAAAATGAATCTTATTTACTCGTATCAATTGAAAATGTATGCCGTCAGGTCTGACCCAGGGGAGGTAAGGAAACTGTGTGTCAATAGCAAATTGACTCCAAAAAAGCTGCTTGTATATGTAAGGTATGGTGGCCTACATTACTCACAACAGATTCTAAAAATCTGGCACATTATTTTCTGCACAGTTGGGCTATTAAAAAATTGAAAATTATCATCGACAAGCTCAATCAAACAACCGAGACTTATCAATTTCTCTACTTCACTCCTTCTTTACACGACGGATTGTTCAAAATTAGGTGCAGGGACACCGATTTGATTATTACGAAATATATAATATATACATCGGGCATATAAAAATAAAAATATTATCCTAAAAAAAAAAATTATGGCGTTAAAACTCATCGAAAGTTTTCTATTATTTGCAGTTAACGTGTGTTAATCAATACTTCCATACTTAATATTATAAATGTGAAAGTGTGTTTGTTTGTTTGTCCTTCTTTCACGTTGAAACGGAATGACGTATTGGCGTTATTTTTTTGTGTGGAAATAGCAGGAGGGCAGGAGAGTGACATAGGCTGCTTTTTACCGAGAAAGATTATCTCATTTCCACGGGAAAACACTTTATAATACTACCCAATAAAATATTTATGAACAGAATTACTTTAAACTGGGTATTAATGCTCTTCAGTACAATTAAATAAACACGTGCATTTTTCGAAATTCATCCCATAAGGAGGATGAATGTATATATTGAACCTAACTTTTTAGTTTTTTTATAGTTTTAGCGCGAGCGAAACCACGGGCTTTGCTAGTATTTAATATATTAGAGTAAAAACCAAAAATAAAACTATGCAAGCTACACCAAAGGATGTGCCAGATTAGTTCGATACTCAAACAGCTTAAAATCTGCGAGGTACCGGGCGATGGCTGAGTAACGGCAAAACTTTTAAAATGGATGAAAGTTAATCCTGTAAGCCTGATGAATTTAATATGCACTACATTATGTAGATGACAAAGGACGTGCTTTAAGCAAAGAATATTTGGGGATTATTAAAAAGAATTCGATTCGATTAGGACTTGAGTTATGCTCTGCAATGGTGACAAGATTATTTCTTATCAGTAATTCAAAATTTTCATTGAAACGCTGAAGCGTTTACGAGATAATAGGGCCGAGTCAGCCAAATTTTGGAACGGAACTCAAGACTAATCCAAAAAAATGGCAGTAAGGAGCAAGACGGGAAGATTATTATTTCACCATAGTTACATAAAAGACGTTTTTAAGGTCCTGGATTGAAAAAGAACGAGCTTCAATAGAACTTGCAAGTACATTATTCGCCTACAATCTATCAAACATGGAATGGCTGAACCTATATAATATGTCAGCACTATGCTCATCTCGAATAAAGCCTCATAATGTTGGAATACGTTTATTATGTCGAACATACATGTTACGACCACTCCAGTATTCAACTGGATATAATACCTTGGAAAATTATCGATAGGAAACGATAGATTGCAATATTTTTTGTACCAAACACTGCAGTGTCTTTACCCGATAAACTCCGAATGGGCATGCAAGAGATAACTTTTGATGCTGAAGCTGAAAATCGCTTTAAGAATAAATTAAAAGGCATTTCCGGAACTTCAGTGAGCTAAATCTATAAGAAACGAAGCACATAATATAATTTTCATACACATATTACGTTTTGAAGGGTGTACTTCACAGGTGGTCCCATTTAAATTCTATCGAAATCGGTCGAGCGGTTTTTAAAAAATTAACAATTAATTATTTTTTTTAAATAAATTGTTTAATCGATTTGTTATTAAAAAACTTTCTTCTTACAAATTGCTTATTACGTATACACAAAAAATGTAATAAAATATAAACAAAAATAAAAACATTAAAAAAAATACTAAAAACCGACTTCCAGGCACTAAAATGTAAAAAATAACTAAACGGGTATTTTTATTTAGATATTTTCGAAGTCGTTGCCGGGCACATGCCCAGGGCCCCCAGACTCACAGGGCCCCCGAAAAGACATAATTCTCATTTACTTGGAAAAGGGAAAAAAACACAATTTTTATTACTCTATATTATACTGCACTGCACTGTATATAATACACTGCATACTGCCTGCATATATTATGCTCCTTAGTGAACTTGTTCCCATTGTAGTTAATTTTACACAATCGACTTTTTTGTGTTTTTTTTATCATTCACATTTTTTATCTATCTAAAAGTCTCGAAGTTGTTGTGTGCAAAGGGTGACCCATGGCTTTAGACGGCCCTGCATATCGAGTTTATTTATTAATTATGAAAACTTTATATTTCTCATATATTATTAGTAAGAACAGTTATAAATATAAACGTTTGTGTGAGCATTGAGTAAATACCTATTCCTCTCGTCGGTCCGATCATATTAAATTGTTATTGATTTACGAATTACAGTTTCCGACTAAGCAAATATAAACATTAAATTTCAATTGGTCTCGGTAACTATGAGTAATACGTATATGAATTTCCAGCAATTTGTGGCTATTATTGAATGTTTTTGTATCAACTGAGTTAAACTGAACGTACTACTAAAAGAAGATTTTAAAGTACTAACTTACATTTTTTCTCTATTGCTGGGTAAAATCGTTACATATTTTCACGATTTGAAAATTATTATGTCTAATCCATTATATTATATGACGACTTTTTAACATAGAAATAAGGGATAATTTTTCTGACTACTACCACGGTAATGTTATATATATAATATATTACCGTGCAACTACGCACATATATATGTACATAGGTATTGTTTAAAATTATGATTGTTACTTTTATATTAATGCACATATTTTAGCGCGCTAAATATGTAAGTCTACTCCCGCGCAGTCTAGTGCTACCAAGTGTAATAGTGATTTTTATATAGTGTTTCACAATATATAGAATTTACTATATAAAATATTATCTTTAACATATATCTTTTTAGTAACATCGCCCTAGCGCCTGCTCATTTTATATTAGACGTTTTTACTAGCTGCATATATGCTGAGCTTTTTGGTCGTTTTCGTTGAAAATTCTAAACAACCTACTTTGCGCTATTTTTATGATTATATTTAATCTATTTATCTTTGAACTTTGCAAATATAATTATATTACAATACCTTTAAGGTTTTGATAATAATTTAAAAATATAAGAACGTCATAATAAAAAAATAATTAAAAAATAAAATTAAAATTAAGCATAAATAAGCATTTATAAAAAGCCCCATTATTAGTTATAAGTACTAGTAATTAACTTATAAAAACTTGCAAAAGAAACAAAATCATATATAAAAACACAAGGCGTAACAGGTGTCAGTCGCTCGCTAACTCGTGGTTAAAATGTTTAATGTCGCTTGACGTTCAATTTTAATCGCACAGCAAAATAAAGGGGGCATTCGCTTAAAATTTGTAACTATTTATAAGTAATTTGACTTACCAGGTGGGCGGGCTACGGCGCACGCCAGCGCCGCCGCGATCAGAACCAGCAACGTGTGCATGCCTTAACGTCTTCAACACAGAATGACTATGTTTACCGCGTTTGCAGCGAGTCCTGTCGCGCACTCGCGCACCGATCGATACCCGCCCACATGATAGCCACCTCGCATCCGCAAAAAGACATATCTCACAAACTATCGAACATGAACAACTCAAATACAACGAAATAAAAACTATGCTACTGACTTACAATCTTCTTCGCGTTGATTTTGAGCAGGACTGTGCATCCGATGTACAGTTGGTCCTGCAATCCCGGTTCTAACTCAACAGTTTAAAGTCTAATGTTCCATGCTAACTAGGACCTGCAAATAGTATAAATGAAATTTTACTCCTTGGATGACGTTGGGTGTCCATGGGCAACATGAGATAGCAATTATTTATAAAATATTCTTAAATATTTTTTATTTGCAGTTTTTAGTATATTCATTCATTATTTAGTGCATTCCATGCCAAATCGGACGGTTTCAAAAATTTTTAATTTTGATTTTCTTAATATTTTGGTATTTTTTGTACCCCTCAAATTCCTGGTAAATTTTGAGATTTTTTTGAACACTGGTTCAAAAATATCGAATTTTCAAAAAAACGCGCTTTTTTGGTTTTTTGCTCATAACTTTCTTAATAATGGTCGAAATTAAATTTTTTTTCAAAATTTTTGTATTTAGATGACCTTTTGAAATCTTAATTTTTCGATTTTAAAAAAATATTTCTTTTCCTTTTTTAAAAATCGAAAAAAATAGTTATTATGGAAGGATCCGGGCTTAAAAGTTGCATGAAGGATTGAAGCTTAAAATAGAAAATTTCCATAAAAATCGAAGGATACATACATTTTTAAAAACACGATTGAAAACTTAATACTAAAAGTCTCGATTAAAAACATTTTAAATATTTTTTCTAAATCTTTTTTGTAAAGGTCATCCAAAAACAAAAAACATTGAAAAAAAATGTTTAATTTCGACTATTACTAAGAAAGTTATGAGCAAAAAACCCAAAAAAGAGCGGTTTTGAACTAATGATAAAAAAAACTCGAAATATACCGGGAAGCCTCTTTTGAGGGGTACTAAAAATACCAAAATATTAAGAAAATAAAAAATAAAAACTTTTAAAAGCATCCGAGATGGGAAGGGAATGCCCTATAATATGTAAGGTGATACAATCAATTTCATGTTTATTTAAGTCAATTTAGTTATAATAAAAACTCTTCATATAACCAATAATTAACTAATATATGTATACTAGCATTGCCCGCGACTTCGCGCGTATTCAGATGACCAAAAACCAAACTCTTAGGTTTTACATATTAGCATACTCTTACATTGCAGTTTTCAACCGACTTCAAAAAGGAGGAGGTTCTCAATTCGACTGTATGTTTTTTTTTTTTTTTTTTTATGTTTGTTACCTCAGAACTCCGTCATTTCTAAACCGATTTGGATAATTTTTGTGTCGTTTGAAAGAGTATACTTCCAGATTGGTCCCATTTAAATTTCAAAAAAAAATACCACCCCTAAGGGTGGAAAAACTACTAATGATGAATTTAACCTACTTCTAATTGTCATATTGACTTGAAACTTTGCAAGTATTTCTATTTCCGTTGATAGTACAGTGGTTCGGTGTTGTTGAACTGATCTGATGGCAAGGCCAGAAGGTGGATAGGTGGAACTCTTCAACGGCTAATAGTAGATACTTTGAGTTTGGGCTTATTTTGTTTGATTTGACAAGCCTAACACGTTAGAATCCTTACTTTTCTACTACTGTCTACACTAAAAAGGGAAAAATAAAAACTTTTTAACAAAAAAATAAAAACCGACTTCAAACAAAAGCACTAAAAAGTAAAAAATAACTGATTGGTAGTTTTCATTTACTATACATACCTAATCAAATATTTTCGAAGTCGGTGTGCTTTGGCTAAGTAATTAGAGCCTACCTATTAAATACATACCTAATCAAATATTTTCGAAATCGGTGCCAGCCCATACAAAGCAAAGCACACCGACTTCGAAAATATTTGATTAGGTATGTATAGTAAATGAAAACTACCAATCAGTTATTTTTTACTTTTTAGTGCTTTTTTTTGAAGTCGGTTTTTATTTTTTTGTTAAAAAGTTTTTTGTATTTTCAACCGACTTCAAAAAGGAGGAGGTTCTCAATTCGACTGTATGTTTTTTTTTTTTTTATGTTTGTTACCTCAGAACTCCGTCATTTATTAACCGATTTGGACAATTTTTGTTTTGTTTGAAAGGGTATACTTCCAGATTGGTCCCATTTAAATTTCAAAAAAAAATACCACCCCTAAGGGTGGAAAAACAACTAATGATGAATTTAACCTACTTATAATTGTCATATTGACTTGAAACTTTGCAAGTATTTCTATTTCCGTTGATAGTACAGTGGTTCGGTGTTGTTGACCTGATCTGATGGCAAGGCCAGAAGGTGGATAGGTGGAACTCTTCAACGGCTAATAGTAGATACTTTGAGTTTGGGCTTATTTTGTTTGATTTGACAAGCCTAACACGTTAGAATCCTTACTTTTCTACTACTGTCTACACTAAAAAGGGAAAAATAAAAACTTTTTAACAAAAAAATAAAAACCGACTTCAAACAAAAGCACTAAAAAGTAAAAAATAACTGATTGGTAGTTTTCATTTACTATACATACCTAATCAAATATTTTCGAAGTCGGTGTGCTTTGGCTAAGTAATTAGAGCCTACCTATTAAATACATACCTAATCAAATATTTTCGAAATCGGTGCCAGCCCATACAAAGCAAAGCACACCGACTTCGAAAATATTTGATTAGGTATGTATAGTAAATGAAAACTACCAATCAGTTATTTTTTACTTTTTAGTGCTTTTTTTTGAAGTCGGTTTTTATTTTTTTGTTAAAAAGTTTTTTTCCTCAGAAATTAGATTTTTTCCCGCGGTAAAATGTATCCTATATGTTGACCCGGATAACCAGCTATCACCATACCAAATTTTATCAAAATCCCTCCAGTAGTTTTTCTGTGATGCGGTAACAGACAGACAAACAGAAAAAAATTCTAAAAAATTATAGATTCGGCCTCTGTATCGATAATAATGTCTATTTCAATAAGATTTTCCAAAAAATATTTAATGTACAGATTTGCCTTAGTTACAATTTTATTATATGTATAGATGTAATAGTAACAATAGAAATAAAATATGAAAATACAATTGCATTTATGCGGTATTGCAACAAAGTAAACATTAGTGCTTTGAAGAAGGATTTTCAGGAATATATTCAGTGGAGGCCAGATTTGCATATCGCATTGTAAACCTAATTCCTGTAACTCCTCTATTCACCTTTGTCATCATGTTCCAGGCTCGTAAAAGATTTTATCTATTAAATGGAATCGGAAACATACATCCTTTAGAGACAAGAATATCAATTTGAATATCAAAATATGTTTGGTATTATTTTATAGCTATTTACAAAATTTAATCCTGGGCTATTATAATATGCAGATACACCTAACCTTTACTAAAAATACCGATCGTATGTAAGTGCTTCTTAAAATATTATTTAATAGCAACTTTTAATTGAAATCTTACAGAAGTAATGAATAAGAAATGATGTTTATACGAACAAAAGTTAAATTGAAGTACTCGTATTCTACCTACTCAATAGAAATGAAAAGGAAAGAAGCCGATAAAATGATTGTAATGTGATTCTTATTTCAACAAAGTTTTTGTTTCTGTTTCACTTTTTGCGAAACCATTGAGAATAAACAATCTTCAAAACAATTACAAACAAATAAAAACATATTTTTTAAACTCTATCATATCTTATCTATCAATATAAATTTTCAATATGAACAATTCTGCAAAAATGTATAAGCTTACTTCTTTTACAATTACGAACATTTGGAATTTGGATGGATGAATGTTTTTTACTCAAACACGCCAGAACGGCTGAACCGATCTGGATGACATTTGGCACAGAGATAAAGTATAGTCTATAGCACACATATTACTTTTTATTCATAAATAAATAAATTTTATTCATGAATAAATTTGATTTTATTTTTACAGAGGTATTGTCGATCCCTTGATCGACAATCTATCCCGTAATAACCGTTAAAACGTACCTAGGGACGGACCTGAGCGAAGCGAGAGTCAGACTCTAGTAATATTATACATTTTCGCAGAACGTAATCAGCCCTTTTTAACCTCCCACTGCTGGGCACGGGCCTCCCTTCAGGACGAGGGGGATCAGGCCATAGTCCACCACGCTGGCCAAGTGCAGGTTGGCGGACTTCACATATCTTTCGAAAACTAGCTAAGTTCCCTCAGACATGCAGGTTTCATCACGATGTTTTCCTTCACCGTAAGGCAAGTGGTAATCATGCTAGAAATGATTCGCACATGAAAATATCAGAGGTGCGAGACCCGGGATTTGAACCCGTATCACTCGGTTTCTCAAGCGAGCGCGTTACCACTGGGCTACCACGGCCTTTTTTCGCAGAAATTAAATAATACTTACGTAATAAATAAGAATTAATCTATTTAATTTAAAATAAATCCCAATATAACTATATTATAATATGTGAATAAGAGTCTGAGTAGAGTAATCAGTTGGCCTATATTCAGAGCGCATTGTCGTCCTCATTACCTACCTCCATCAGTTACGGCAGAGAAGTGCATTGTAACCTTTTCCTATATAATTAAATGATCTTACAATTTACAAAGGGTGCATTTAGACACCATTTTACTTTTTTTGTTCTGTATCTTCAAATACTTACATAGAAGATTACTTTACCGTCTGTTTGTCTTCTTGTCGGTCACATAACTTTCAATTTTATAGAAAGTCAAAATATTGCGCTCCATTGATCATAAGTCGAAGGAAAGTCTAAAAACAGTTTATTTCATATTTACAAAGGACCGTTACAGAGTGATGATGGTATACCATTTTTATGTAATGCAAAGTTGGTCCGTCAACAGCCAGCAACGTAGTTTCGATACCTAATTTAATTTTTTTATTCACCT